CATCTGATGTATACTTGTCAATCACACATAAAACATCCACAACTTCTATCTATATCTTACATCTGATGTATACTTGTCAATCACATATAAAACATCCACGTATCTTCTATTTATACAATACATCATGTACGTTAACAGAACAAGCATTATGCTCATATTTTCTTTATCATTAACAAACAAAATCAACCTGGATATCATTTTTTTTCCATTTCTGATAAAATGATAAAAATATCAATATATGAACCCTGTTTGAAGGTACAGGTACAAATTCAAACATTTACAATTTTAACAACTTACCCATAGTTCCTCTCCAACCAGGTAGCTGTCCAGATAGTTTACAATATTTGGATTCTGATTTTCCCTCATGACTAGAATTTCATTTATAATTAGCTCTTTCTTTGGCTGTTGTGACAGATTCATGGTTTTGATGGCAATTTCTCGACCTGTGGCTACCTCGACAGCTATAAACACAGTTCCAGAAGCTCTGAGGAGTAATACAAATGTTAATTACTAAACTGACATTTGTTTTAAAATTCTGGGTCTGATGAGGACCTTTTTTAAGTCCCTAAACACAACATACTCTACATTCCCTCCTGTTTAATACAGTAAAACCTTCTTATGCTGCTACCTTTTCCAGGTACATTTTGAAGTTATAAAAGGGTTTGGCAATAAATTAAGGACAAGTTATACAGGGTTTCTTAAGAAAAAGATAAATAGGACCTTGACATATGTGTTGGTGGTATGTGAGATGGCAAATTAAACAAGGGGTATTATATTGGGATTTTACTGTACGTGTGAGCTCTGTGCTACAAAACTGTTATCTTAAAACCCATTACCAGTAGTCTCCAAGGGCTGTGGTAATTCTCTCCCCACTAAGCCTATCAGCAGTCTACACATAACATATTTCTTTGAGTTCTTTTTGGTAGCTGTCAGAACTCTCTACAATGACTTACTCTCAGTCTGCTTCTATACTCTCTTTTGTATTGTGACTATGCTTCTATACTCTCTTTTGTATTGTGACTTTCAAAAATCTCTTTTATTAACAAAACCATCAAACAATTTCTAGGGTCTCCTTCTAATGGGGACTATCACAAATTATATTGCTCTAATTTTGACCTATTTGTCATTTTCCAAATTGTGACCATCAGAATTATCTATATAGACTTACCCTTGACCTATTTTTTCCATCTTCGTGTACTTTCTATTGGGGTCTCCTATAGTGACAATTGTTCGTAATTTTTCTAAGATCTCTTCGTCCGACATTTTCTTTTTCTTTGGCTTTTCATTCTTTGTAGATATTGCACCATTGGGCTTCTCATCCGCCTCTATAGGTTTTGTATACTGCAAGGAAAAGCACAAAGCACCTAACAAAAGTACAGAATAGTTAAAGCCAAGATATTTTATGTAAAATAGTGAAATATCTATCTCATGATTCAAAAATTTTGAAAATTAATTAACTTGGGCTTAAGTAGTTTACTTTTCTAAATGTTTTCAATAGTTTATATTTTTTAACATTCACACCGGCAAGTTTGTTTATATTTTTTANACACAGGCAAGTTTGTTTATATTTTTTGACATTCACACAGGCAAGTTTGTTTATATTTTTTGACATTCACACAGGCAAGTTTGTTTATATTTTGTTTAGGAAATTTATTTAGTTGATCCCTCACATTCATTTCATTAACAAACTACACCTAGGACATTTCTATTTTTCTGGATGCTGATAGTGGTCCTAGTTTTCTAGTTTAACGTGAATGTACATGGAAACAACTAGTATCAGAATTACCAATGCACACATGTACCTTCACCTCACAAAGCTGGAAACAACTAGTA